GCTCGCTGGAGCGCAGCTGCTTGAGCTTATTTAAGCAGAGCACTGGACGCACAAAGGACGCAGCACAAAGAACGACAGAGACAGAGACAGAGACATAGAGAGAGAGGGAGTGGGAGAGAGGCAGAGAGAGAAGAGCAGCAGCCGGCACACAATTTGTCCTGCAATCGCTTTTGCTTGTTGCTTGTGCTTGTTTGCCATTGTCTAATTGTTAACCATTTTTTGTCTCCTTCACTCCCTCATATTGCATTGTCTGATTGTAACACGCTTCTGTATTGTTTGTATGTGTGTGTGTGTGTGTGTGCAGCCAGGCAAAATAACATTTGTGTAATGAAAGAGTGTCATAGCTCAGTCTATCCCATTCTAACCATATGTTGCCCAGCATCTCCTTGTCTCTGTCTTTTTCTGCCTGTTCACGCAGTGTCTATTTTAAGCATATTACATATTGTTTTAATATTATTGTTATTATTATTATTATCATTATTATTGCCGGCAGTCGGAAGCGAATTGTGTAACTGTATAAGTGCACATCCATCAAAATGTTTACACACCACAAAGACGACAAGACAAAATAATAGAGTGAATAAAACCAATTACGAACTGCAGACAGCAGCAGCCTTCGACGCATATGAATATAAACATTCTGAAATTATTTACAAATTCCATTAGCTAAACGAACTCGACTTTAGCCTTGCAATAGAATTCAACTACACTTCAATTTCAGCAAGCTCAAATAAAATTTATTTTTGTTTGAATTTCAACAAGCTAAAATTTGGTTTAATTTTATTGCCATATTAAATCGAATTCTTCGAATTCATATTCATTTTCAACAAGCTAGAATGCTCTAGTCGGGAGAGCTCAACTAGGAGATACTCATTTAAAATTAATAAACTCCGTGTTTCTTGTTCGATCATTATTACGGTCTATCATTAATATGTTAGGCTATATTATTTATTAATTGGATGCTTATATCTTGAAAATTGTGCCTTTCGATTTATATCGATATACACGACATCGACTTGGCTATTAGTGGTGATTTAGAAAATATGTACATTTGCCAGTTGCATAGTTTTCCACAACTTATTTATACTCTTTTTCCAATTTCGAATAAGTTCAGTGTACAAATATAAATTAATCTATTTTTAGCCTTGCAATAATAAATAAATAAATAAATCTACGTTATAAATCTATATTTATTAACCATAAATTGACTAAGGTTAGGTCAGACTAAGAATAGACCTAGGCCTACTTGTATAAACACGCGTGTATTTATTTATAATTTCAGGTGTAAGCATATTCCTCTTTCTACCGAATTCCGTTGGTTCAATCAATATAATGGCAGACCTCATTTTGCATTCCAACAAACGGCGTCAATCAAATTTGTTTACTCAAACCTCCAGGTTTGATGCATCTGCAAACGATATGGGACTTGTTCCTTGGACAAGCAGCAAAAATTTCAATTACTAGTGAGGACTAGGGCCAATGTGAATTGGAGGGGACAGTGGAGTATTCTGTGCAGGCGAATCGCACGCAGATGACACAAAGCAACAACGATGTGGTTTCAATTTGAGTGTGTCTGTTGCAAGTGGTGCAGAAAAGTATGCTGCAAAAGTTTCGCACAAAGCACTGTCGGCAAAGTAGTTTTTCGGACAGAAAGTCAATTTTGGAAAGTTCCATGCAATGAATGAACGTTTTTCTATAAAAACATTCATTAATTTCGAATATACCGTAGAATACACCTAATATAAGGACACGTCTAAGAAATGTTAAGATATAGATGTTTAATACTTTTCTTATTTAACAATAAGCACAAAAATTCAAAATATTATTACAATACTAATACTCTTAAGCATTGCTTTTTTAAATATAACCGTCATAACTTTACTTACTCAATTTTGTATTTGCGTGTGTGACCATATATCTAATTATGTTAATCAACTGTGCTTATCGATATTAAGAAGCATGTTTAGAAGTGTGTGGCGACCAACTCTGTTGATCGAGAGATAAAAATATCGATAAGAGTTGCCGTCACTTTCCAAATAAAAAGGACGCACTCGATAACAATAAAAACTGATTAGAACAATATCTATAACTTATGCAAAATTGTTATTGTAATATTTATAAAAGTTCAGTCGACCGAATTATTCATTTGTACCAGAAAATGTTTCTGATTTCGCATTTGTGATTTTAATTGAAAACAATGCACGTGTGTGAAAAACTGTGAAGCCAATCCATGCACGAGAACACACACAAACCTTGATATAAATAGAGAGAGGGAGATAGAGACAGAGAGAGACGGGGAGAAATTTGCTGCGAAGCAGATTCAAGATTTGCAATGGGGCCCCAGCCACATTAGCTGCAGTTGAGCGAGTGTCAAGGTGAGGCCAGGTGCGACGCTGCCAGGCAGAAAACAGGCAACTAGCAAACAACAACAACAAGAGCGGGATAAGCTGGTGCACTGCTTGGGCCATATCTGGTACTGGCATCGGGCCAAATCACGTAATCAGCGACTTGTTTATGGCGCATGTGCCAACAACAATTAAAAAATAATCATTCTGTGCAATGTGTAAGAAATTTATTGTAATTAGCGTCAATTTTGGCCAATTGCCACGCCCTTAATCAATCACAATATTTTTGCAACAAAATCACATTTATTACAATTTAATGCGATTATATTTGATTTATTAAAAAAAACAACTCTTATTTCATTTGCGTTTGGCTCTGGCAAATGCGAAAATTATGGCATACAAAGGGCGACACTTGAAAAACGCTTTAACGCATATGCCACGCCCCAAATGGGATGGGGCGGGGTGGTTATCGTCGTGGCTTATCCACGACCAGGTCCTGGCTCCTGGCGTCCACTGGGAGCCGTTATATTCTGCGCGCATATTATTTGCATTTGTTTGGCTTGATGCTTTTTTTTTGTTGTTCTTTTCTCTTTCTCTTACCATCTGGTTGCTTATGTGACACTCGTCTGGAGAGGGGACTAGCAGTCCCCAATGCATACAGCAAAGCTGCTAATGGCAATATGAACAATCTTGGTAATTACCCAAAGACTATGCCCCTACAATGGATGGGAACTGATGGTTCCCATTAAGGGACCATTCCAAACTGATTGCCAAAACACGACTGCAAATTACTTTGACTTTAAGCACCAACAAAAATAACACAAAACTGATGGCATGCGTAGAGATTCGAAATAAACTTAGAAAGATCAATAGAATGACCAAATACTGGATACCTGCATGCGAAGTTGCTGACGTTCTACTCAGGCAGTTCAAGAATGAGCCCTTAGTAAAAAGCTGGCAAGTGCAGAAACCTCAGCAGGAACAGTTTGAAATAAACAACTTTAACTAAAAATAAGTGTAATAGCCCTTGTAGATCCACTCGGTCCCGCTCAGAAAAAATCGGCTTGAATTTACGGGTAACTCACCTTATTTTTATTATTTTTCAAAACGTATATTTAATAAAAAAAAGAAAGATTTTTCTTTTCTTAATCACAGTGTACATTTTATAAAAAATATGGCTAATTTTCATTGTTTTTTATGTGCAAAAATAAGCCTTATAACATTTGAATTTTAATATTTAATTTTGGACAGCTTATAAAATTCATACAACTTAACTAAAAAAAACTTAACATTATACGGCGGTTGGAACCCGCGACCTTTTTAGAAATTAATTACTGGGATTGTCGATTGACGGCAAACTTTTCTAATTCTAAGACATTTTTATTCTCGTTCTTATTAAGAAATTATTCTTAAAAACAAGAACAACTTACTAGTCAGGTCGATTTTTTCTGAGTGTTCAAAGTCGCCTAACTTATTCCAAACAGAAACCATTATTCATCTACTAAGACAGTTCCTTAAACTAGTACAATATTTCTATATGCGTATACGTAATTTCTTATAGTCATTGCTTAATTCACTGTCTATATATATATATATACATATATATTTGTGCGGTGCATTAGATAGTTAATAGCACACACTCGAAACAGTATTCGAAACAAAAGTCAGTTTATCGCACATTTTATGCTGCTTTCATGGTTGGACGAGCACTTTCAATTAAATTGCAATTTGCGTTGATATAAAATTGCAATTGATGTAATTGCGATTGCATGTGTGAGTAAGTGTATGTGTGTGTGCGTCTGCAAGTGTGTGTTTGTCTATTGGGTCTACTGGGAGGTACTTCTGACATTTTTAAATGCATTCAAATGGCAAATGCACATGAAACGGCAATCAGCATAATTTTAACGATCAATGCAGTTAAAATTAATTGCATGTAAAAACTGCGGCGGTGACAGCAAACCATACATAATTAATTATACATCATTATATACATATATATATATATATATACATGCATGACGTGGTGCACTGTTGGTGTACCACAATGTGTCGTAAAATGTGTGGAAAAGTTAAAATTGCTTCCATTTCCAGTTAACTGTGTGTTATAATTAATCAGAGTTAATTTAATTGTTACAAATCTGAGGTTCGGGTGGGAAATATAGAAACTATATTTATTTTTTGTATTATGATGGATCGGCTTAAAGATATACATTGGTAGGCTTGTGCTTATTGATAATGAAATTAAACTTATGTTTTATTGCGCTTCATGCGTCTTCCTACTTCGCTGCCAGAAACCGAACTTTCGATGCCGATCAGTTATCGATAATCTTACTTGTATCGCTACTGACTCGATTACCTGCTCTTAATAGTATCGGAACAATTTAAACAAGGTTGCCAGATAGCTGTGACCGTTTTCTGTTTGTGTGTCTCCTATACGAAATCCGCCAGAAAGTTTTTGGCAATATCTAGATGAAGTTTGATATATATTTTAATGTCGGAGACTTAATTCAGAATTACCCTCTATATTATAAATCTGAAATTATGTAACTTCGGGAATATTATTATATAAATATTTTTATTGAACATGTTAGTCAGGCTTAGTCAAAGTAAACAATTTCATTTACAAAAGGAAAACATCATGTTATGACTAATATTAGATTTATTGTAACACAATTTCGGGCCACACATCACACTTCAAAATTATAAAACAAATTGTATTTTCCAAATTTTAAAGATGCTGCGTCAGTTAAGAGCCAACTTACTATTGCATACAAGTAGTGTAAAGATTATCACATTAGCTGCATTTTCGGCAAAAATAACACCAGATAAAAATCCAAGTATCTATCAGTCTGGCATTTTCATCAACAATGAGTGGCTTGATAGCAAGTCAGGCGAAACCTTCTGCACCATTAATCCAAGCACAGAGGAGGCTATCTGCTCTGTTGAAAGAGGAGGGAAGAAAGAAATCGATCTAGCCGTGGAGGCGGCTAAAAATGCATTCAAACTGGGGTCTCCTTGGCGCCGCATGGATGCCTCGGACCGAGGACGTCTGATAAATCGACTGGCAGATCTCATCGAACGAGATTCCCTCTACTTGGCTAGCTTGGAGACCGTGGATAATGGGAAACCCTTCGCCATGTCTAAGAAGGTGGATTTGCCACTGACTGTGAAGAGTCTGCGATACTTTGCCGGATGGGCTGACAAGATACACGGCAGGACGATAGCCGCTGATGGTGACGTCTTCTGCTACACACTACACGAGCCGGTAGGCGTGTGTGCTCAGATCATACCCTGGAACTTCCCCCTCCTGATGCTCGCCTGGAAATTCGGTCCAGCCCTGGCCACTGGAAATACAATAGTACTGAAGCCTGCCGAGCAGACACCGCTTACGGCCCTCTTTGTAGGTCAGCTGGTGAAGGAAGCTGGCTTTCCGCCGGGTGTGGTGAACATCGTGCCCGGCTATGGGGATATAGGCGCCTATTTGGCTAAGCACTGCGAAGTCGATAAGGTCGCCTTCACGGGCTCAACCGAAGTGGGTCGTCAGATTAAGTCGGCTGCAGGCGACACAAATCTGAAACGAGTTACCCTCGAGCTGGGTGGAAAATCTCCAAACATTGTCCTAGCCGACGCAGATATGGACTACGCAGTTGAGATGTCCCACTTTGCACTATTTTTCAATATGGGTCAGTGCTGTTGTGCAGCCTCGCGAACTTTTGTCGAGGATAAGATCTACGATAAATTCGTGGAACAAAGTTGTCAGCGTGCCAAAAAACGCAGTGTGGGCGATCCGTTTGACGAGAACACCGAACAGGGTCCACAGATCAGTAAAGAACATATGGAAAAGATATTGGGAATGATTCAGACGGGAGTAAAGGAGGGCGCCAAACTGGTAACTGGTGGTAAGCGAGCTGATGGACCTGGTTACTTTGTGGAGCCAACCGTATTTGCAGATGTTAAAGATGACATGGCAATTGCACGCGAAGAGATCTTTGGTCCTGTTCAGCAGATTATTCGCTTCAAGAATATAGATGAGGTCATCGAGCGAGCAAATGACTCACAATACGGCTTAGCTGCTTCTGTATTTACCAAGGATCTGGACAAAGCCAACCATATTATTGGAGGTCTGCGAGCTGGTACCGTGTGGGTGAACACTTACAACGTGCTTGGGGCTCAGAATCCATTCGGGGGCTATAAGATGTCGGGACATGGCCGAGAGAACGGCGAATACGCTCTCTCGAACTATACAGAGATTAAGAGTGTAATTGTGAAGGTGACGGAGAAGAACTCCTGAATGATGCTTACAAATCAATCAGGAGTTTGCTCCCGCCGCGAGGTTTGAATCTGTGTTTTAAATTTAAGTAATTAGACAGCAAAAAAAATTGTGTACAAAAGTCAATTGCACTTCAGAAACAATTTACAATCTATAACTATAAATATAATTGTAATAATAAAAGGTGCCACGAACACTTTTAATTAGTATGTGTTTAGTAATGGCGAAGAAGAAGTGTAGCTTAATGCAAGAGCCTTTGGCAAAGATACACAACTGAATTAATCGACCAACTCTGCTGATCGATATATTATTTTTTATTATATATTATTGGCAAATGTATTTAAAAGCTCTTAGGCTAAGAAAGATAAAGTTGCAAAACTAGTGCCGTTTAATTATTAATGGACAAAAAGTTGTAAGTGTTCCATTCAAAGTGGATTGCGTCATATTCCAGCAAAAAGTTGCAAAAGAACTGCAAAAGAGGCCAAAAAACTTTTTCAGTCTCCGATGGAATTGTAGTTTTATTAATTAGGAAACTTCTTCAGATGTTTTCAACTTTTTGCTGAAGGGAAATATGTTCAATATGTTAAATTTGTGAGTGTTTTGCCTTTTGGTCTATTTAATGTATACAAATTTACACTTCAAAAGAATTTCTACCATTTTCTATTCACAATCTGTATCTGTATATGTGTTTCCTGTATCAATTTCTACGATTTTCGATTATGGCCAGATTTTGACAACGCTTGTACTTAATTGGAGCACAAAATTCATATTTATTTTTGGTTTAAAGTATGCTAAACTAAGAGACAAACTTTTCTCATTTGCAGATGTGCGAGTTGAAAAACAAATTGAAGCCACGCCTACAACGACAACAAACACAAAGTGCTGCAACTGGAGGAAGTTGGCGAGGAGGAGGAGCAACCGCAACAAATTTTTATACAACAACCCGAACAACTTTAGTGATATGGAACTGTGCATAGCAACAAAGTCAAAAGCTCAAAGTTCAATGCATGTTAAAAGCAACTATCAAAATATAATAAATAATATTAATATTCACAAAAGATGCCACCAAAATCAAATGAATACTCAACAAATCAGCCACAAATGCCACATGAAACACAGAGATCGAGACCACCTGAAAAAGCAACAACAAAACCAACGAGCAACACAACAACAAAATAGCAATAAACAAAATCGAAGCAAAAACAATTGTTATCCACAATGCCACAGACTTCATTTGCGTCTGCTGCTGCTGCTGCTAATGCTGCCACTCGCCCAGCATACCACGACTGCATCACCTGGCGGCAGCAGCAGACGTGATGCTCTACTCGCCTTCTACAAGCGTGCCCAGCTGCGCGAGATGCTGCCACTTGGAGTCCAGGAGTTTCAGTTGCGCGAATCCGCAGGAATCGATTTTGATGAACTGACGCCCACTGGCAGCATGGTCTCAGCCCTTAGTAATGCGGAGCGTTTGCGTAAGCGTAGCGCCTCAACAACATCAAAACCAACAACAACAACAACAATAGCACCACCACCAACAATAAAACAAACAACAACACCACCCACAACAACAGCAGCAACGTCAACAATCACTGCTACGGGCAGCAAAAAGTCGGAAAAATGTGAACCCAAAGTCCTGGAATCGCTGCCCGATGAACCGGTAAATTAAAAATTTCCTATCTTTATATACATTTATACATATATAAATTAAATAATTTTAATACGACTGATTGACTGACTGACTGAAAGCAACCTAAATATTTATGATGTATGAGCGTCGAGCAACAATCAAATATCTAAATACAGTGCCAACATCAAAGCATCAAAAATACAAATAAATGAATAGAGTAAAAGAAATTTCAAAATTTATAAAAATATAAATTGTAGACTTGCAAAACTTTCTTAAAGCTGAAAATTTTTTCTAAATTAAATACATTAATAATCATGAATTAGACTAAAGATATATACTACATTTAAATTTTAAACAAAATAAAAAAAGCAGAATAAAATTAATTCAGCAATAATAATTAAAACGAAAAATTATCAACTGTTATAAATTTCTAATAAGCCGGGCCACTTTTCTAAATGATATACATTAATAATCATGCCTTAGTCGAAAGATTTATACTACATTTAAATTTGAAACAGAATTTTTATCATCTAAATTGATGTTCAAACTCAAGCCCTTGTCAAAATTAAACTGATTGCCAACAATTTCATGCTACTTTATTGTGTGGCTTTAAAGCATCCATTAAGATTGATGATAAGTTAAAAAACTCCACTCTTGCCATATATGTCAAAAACTATGATTTTTATAAAATACATATCGAAAAGAATACCATTAGGTAACTAGTTTTATATATGGTGCTTGCTGATGCATTTGGCAAAGCTGAATCATTGGCATCCAATTACTTAAATTTTTTATTTTATTTTTTATGTTTTTCCTTTTGCTTTTTGAATGTTGTTGTTGATGTTGTTATTGAAACAAAAAGCAGAGCAGCATATAAATTTGTGCGACTGTTGTTGAAAAGCGGTACAAAAGCAGTTGCTGGCAAGTGGACAGTGAGGCAAGCATGGCAAGGAGCAGCAGCTGGCGGGGCAGCAGCAAACAATAACAATAAGAACAAACAGCAACAATAACTCTTGACAGGCATTGGACAACGCGTCCGCTGTTGACCAGAGCCACAACAAAAGGCAAACACACAGCGATGATGTTTTTTTTTTTTTTGCCTACCCCAGCTGCCGGCTGTTGTTCCTTGTGCGCTCCACTTTATTCATTACATTGTACGACACTTATATATATATATGCATATATATGTATAAGTAGCTGTATATATGGGGACTACGTGGCTAAGTTGCGCACACACTCAAGTGTGTATAGATACCAGGGAGATACGCCCTAATGGCAATTTACAAATTTGCTTGCCATTTTGTTCAATGCAATTGAAATTGTATCTTTTAATTATGGCTCTTCAGCTGCTCGCTTGGAAAGACAGCCAGCCAGCCAGCCAGCCAGCCAGCCAGCCAGCTTCATCGATCGCTCCCACACCCCATACGTATTTGCATCTGTATCTGTGTGTATTCAGGGGGTGGCAGTGGGTTGAACAGCTGGTACGTGGTACATTGCTTACAGGCTGTCCCATTGAATATTTATACGAAACACGTAGTTGGCTATATATAGATGTTTGACAAGGAACGAAGTATTATTATCGCTTGAGTGTAAACTTGTAATAGGCAAAGTAGTCTTAGCATTAAGCAAATTACACAATCCAATATAGCATACATGATTGCATCTTGCGCTCAATGCAACTAGAGATCGATAACAATTGTAATTAAGATAAGATCAACATGAATATTGAGCAAACACACGTGGAATAAAAATATCAAATCAAAGAAATAGCCTATTTAAAAGTGCAAGTAGTGTGTATAATATTCTTATAAATATATAAATGAAAGCACCTCATACAAAATGCAGCTAAGACAAATTGAATATAGAAAATAAGAAAGAGCTAGTTTAAAACAGGTACTCGTAGAAATTATATTTAAGTTCACTTTGAAATTTACAAACCTTTTCATAAGTCACGAAGTGACTAGTTGCTTGGCTGATGAGCTGCGTGGTTGGAATTGTCGCTATCTTTAAATTTGAAAATCCTTACTGAAATTGTCATGCAAATTCAATTAAAATATCGTTGATAGACCGCACACTGGATACACAAACCAGATACGACCCGCAGACAGACTCGGAGCGGAAAACCGGAGGCTGTGGCTCTGTGGCTGTGTTGCTGACTTCTTTAGTATCTTTTAATTAACTTGCGAGAGCAAAACGCGTGACACGCCGTCAAGTAAATCCTCATGTAATACCTGTAACCCTCCTAGCTGCCACAGCTCTCCCTTCCTCCATCCCACACAGCTAGAGATAGTATGTGCGTCAGACATGGCGTATGCGTAATATTTTTTACGACCGTCAACAACATTGCAGGGCGGGTTTTTGCCTTCGAATTTTCATGCGCGTCGAATTGCGCAAAAAAAAAGGAAGATTTTCGTCAGCATGAAAATGCGAAAGTCTGATTCAACTTATGCTTGCGGAGTGCGCTAGGTGGTTGGTTGTGGGGGTGGGGATGGTGTATGGGTGGTCTGTGTTGCTGCTTCAGCAACTTTATTGATTAGGACACCGGAAAAAAGAGTGCCGCCTCCTTGGCAGTTTTCGACCATGAAGCACTTTCTCAACTGCCAAGCTAGCAGATTTAAATATTCATGCTAATTGCCCGCTTTGGGGTCGATTGCAAGCTGCAATTTTTCTCACAGCCCCCCAAACAATTGTCAACTGCCAACAAAATGCCCAAAATGAATTGCAGTAACAGTTAGCAATTATCATATTTGATATCCTTTCTTTCGTCGTAAGAAGATATTTAAAAATTAATCAGAACATTTAATAAAGTGTTGATTAGATAGTTGTCAAATTACCTATCCGAACTGCGAACGACTTACAGGATTTGAAACTAGCACGGACTTCTTTACGAAATGAGACTTTGAGAGATTTCATCTATGATTGAAGAAGATCGTAATAAAATTATTAACCAATTAACAATCAAAGAATTTAAATCGCATCTGACGTAAACGTCCGATATGTACACACTGTAGCAGGCCACTAGTGTAACACAACATGGAACTATGCACTTAACATATGATATCGATGTAGATCGATATCATTGGTGTGATCACCAGCCTGAAGAAGAAGAGCTCAATCGCTGTGAATAAAGTAAAATGATCAGACGTGTTTACAAGAGATATAATTTAGTTTTGACTGCTACAACACTAATTTATTCTGTGCAATATCTAAAATTACTTTCGAGTCGAGAGCCAACTTCGGCTAGATCAGGAGTTCTTGAAGCGAATAATCTGCTGAACAGGACCAAAGATCTCTTCGCGTGCAATTGCCATGTCATCTTTAACATCTGCAAATACGGTTGGCTCCACAAAGCATCCAGGTTATTACGATGACCGCCAGTTACCAGAGTAGCGCCCTTCTTTACTCCCGTCTGAATCATTCCCAAGATCTTTTCCATCTGTTTGGACCCTGTTGGCTGTTCTCGTCAAAGGGATCACTGACAAACTTGTTCAACGAACTAATCATAGATCTTATCCTCGACAAAGGTTCGCGAAGCTGAACAACAGCATTAACCCATATTGAAAAATAGTCCAAAGTGGGACATCTCAACGGCGTATTCCATATCTGCCGTATTCGTCCTGCCGTGAGCCTTATCTGCTCTTCCGGAAACTATCGCAGGCTCTTCACAGTCAGTGGAAAATCCATCTTGTAAGACACGGCGAAGGGTTTCCCATTATTTACGGTCTCCAAACCGGTCAAGTAGAATGAATCTCGTTCGATGAGATCTGCCAGTCGATTTATCAGACGTCCAAGCATCCATACGATACCAGGGAGAACCCAATTTAAATGCATTTTTAGCCGCCGACACGGGTAGATCGATGTCTGTGTTGTTCCCCCTTTCAATCGCACCAAGAGATTCCTCTGTGGCTGGATTAAGGGTGCTGCACGTTTCCATCGAGTTGCTATCTATCCACTCGTTGTTAATAAAAATGCCAGTGAAACGCACTTCTGACCTAGTTTGCGGTTTCGGTGCCGTCGAGCAGAATGCATCTAGAGTAGGGCTGCTACCTTGCGGATCATGTAAGCCCTCACTTTTGAGAATAACTTGGATTAGTTTCGAAAATGAATTAAACTTGACTGCACAGCCGGAAATCGGATTCATTTTTGAAAGAAAACTTACTTCAATTAAGGAAGGGGGGAATTCCATTTATACTGCATTGAAATGGTCACAGCTTGTAGTCAAAATTGCAGCAGACAAAGCTCAAATTAAATTGTTTTTCCAAACTCACTTCCACGATTGAACTCATCTTCTTCGAGCTGATGAGTACATCATCGATATCGTTTGATATCGATATCCTATGTTAAGTAGCGTGTTGCATGTTACAGATGTTATTACAATCCTATTACAGTCATAGAGCCTGTTACCTCCAGTAACACTAGGCTGCTATCTAATGCATGTTAATATTGAACTATTCTATTTTCTTGTAAATCATAAGCTGTGAAATAATTAATGCATACGCTGAAGGCGCATGCCAGAAATGCTCGCAAAAGTAAAAAAATGGCGTCGCTGCAGGCAGTTGCTGAAATGCGCTGGTTATTAAAGCAAATGAATTACTGTTCTCACGTCTTATGCAATTTACGGCATTCAAAATTGTTGAAGTGTGGCCCGCAATTTGCATGCTGCTTGAATAAGCAACCGTTTTGCTAAATTGCATTGCGGCTCAGACTTGAAAAACACACACACACAAACACAACACACTCAAACAGCGAGACTCGCTGGAAGGCAAACGGGGCGCGCAGGAAGATGCTCTGCATAATGAAAGATGTGCTCTGGAGTGCTGCATACTTCTAAGCTGCCCAGATGAGATTTGTAAGTGTCAACAGCAACAACAACAGCAACAGCGGAAAAAATAACAAAACGCAAAGCAAAGCAGCTGACATATTTTATTCATTAAGCACAAAGCGAATAACACGATGGCAAAACATGCAAATGACAATGACAACAACAACAACATGCAAATGCCATATGAGCATGTAAATATTTTTATGGTCATAAGTAAGAATTTAGTATAAACATGCACTGAAAGCATTTTCTTGTTACGCTTGATTTCAAAAATATTATTTAAGGCGAATTAAATAAGCCTAAAATTCGTACATTTTAATTTTCTAAAAATAAATCTTAAGCTTAGTCCTCAGCATTGCGTGATTTTTATTTAATTGTTTAATTAAATGTTAATAATATAACATTATTTCCACTGTAAATAAACTAAAATTAAAAATGAAACAAAAAATAAATAAATAAAATAAGAAATATAATGAAATTTAAAATCGTGCGACATAATTAGATTATATATTTTTATTTCCATTTTTTTAATAGGTAGATGATAGTTTAAATTAACTTAAACACTTTTACTGAAAAAATATTATTTTTAATTAAAATCTATTTGAAAAACGATTCAAATGAAATAAGTGAAACTTTAAATTGAATAACAAATTCTAAATGCCAAAGCAGCGCATATTCACCAGCAAATATTTATGACAGTGTAGACACGCACATACACACACACACACATGTATACACACACATACATGCCAAATGCCGGCATAGCCGAGCGCGCGACGAGATGTCGAGGAATGAGACATTAAAAAGCCAGTAAAACGCGCTTTACGGATTTTGTTTCAGCTGCTGCTGGTGTGGTGGTCTGTGTGTGTATATATATATATGTATATATGTGTGCGTGTGTGTGTGATACAACACTTGGCATAGTTGCTGGCTTTATTTACATGTGTATAAACCGTATGTGTGAGAGTGCTTGCAAATGTATGCATGTTTTATTGCACACTCGCTTCTGTTTTGTGGTTTTTGCTATTTACAAGTGTTTCACTGTTTTTCTTCTTTTTATTTTTTGCCGTTGTTGTTTTTATTTTGTTTATTTCTCTGCTGTAGACCGCAACACGCCTGAATGAATCTACCCCCGGTATACATGTGTTATTTGTGCACAAATATGTTTGTTTCTTGTTAATAATTCATTTGGCTTTTCATCTGACACACATAACGTATACGCAATGTGGTCGCCCCACCGGCTCGAGCATTGCTAATGGGAAATATTTGTTAGAAAAGCCAAAGGTGACTCACCCACACACACACACACACACACAGTTGACAACCACTCCCTATCCTCCACTTTCCACTGTCCACCCCCCATCCGCTCTCTTTCTTCTCTATGTGCTGCGGTTACCTTTTGTTTCCAAAAGGCATAATGATGTCATCAGGAGTTTTGTGATGTGTCGACCTCAGAAAATATCCTCAGTGCGTATCCTTTGCGCATCTGTGCTAGGATCCATCCAGTCACTGGCACAGTATACATTTTGCGCACCGCTCTGCTTGGACATTAAATTGTATTATTTTCAACGCAGTCCGACAGCAATAACTTTTTGATCTACACTCAGAAAAAAGGCTTTTGACTACAATTCACCATCACTTCAAGCTAAATATATTTATATATTTTGTTAAAGTTTTACTGTCAACGAAAGTCAATTTTTCTCAGTACTCGCGAAACGAGTTGAGTCATCGATAAAATGAAATCAACTTAACACTTAGAAGAGAATTTATATTCCATATTCAAAGTATATACATGTGTATATAAGAGCCTTATAGTGTCTGTTCGGCGATTTAATCATAAATATTTATATATTAAAGATGGTTCCTTTTGTCGCCAACTTTCCTTGTCACAATTTCAACATCTATTATTTTTTTAAGTGATTTTTGTTTCAGTGAATTCTAAATTGTAGGGCAAATATATTTTTAAGGTGTACGCATTTACAGACGCAAAGGTGTTGGACCGTGCTAAACCGTGTGACATGTGAATAATTAATAGCTAAACACACTCATCCCTCAAGCCATAAAAAGGACTGCAGAGGTTTTGTTTGGTAGGGATGGTGAAGGGGGTTCGGGGTTGTTTTCTTGATCATCTTATTTACGAACGGGTTTCTCTTCTTGCGCTTACATCAATTATGGCTAACACTTAACGTTAGAACGCATTTCAAGCCAGATTTTATTTTGAAGCATAGTTAGTGCATAAAATATATGAATAATAATAATTTTATAGCTACTATTACTGACCGAGTCACACTTATATGAGGCTTATTATAAGCAAACTTAGTTTTTCACGTGAATAAATTATGATTATGATAACATACTCTCTGCTGCAAAACTTTCTTGAACATACTCTCTAAATTGAGTGTATCTCTAAAGATAGATTGCATTTGTGAAGTATTTTTTCAGGCTGCTGTCTTGAACTTTAAATAAACCTTATTATGAAGGGCTTCATATTTAATTTATTTAAGCTGTGGCTCGAGAAATTGCATAGCTAATTGCTACATTGCAATCAGAGACCAATCTGGGATGTTTGTTCTATCCGGTAACTCAAAATTTATTAAATTATAATTGCTTTAATTGAGTCGACAAATAATTGAAACGGTTGCATTATTAAGGCATGTAAAAGTCAAGAAAATGTGCCACACTGTTTTCTAAAATACAATTAGTATCTAAAACAAAAATATGAATTTGTTTAAATTTATGCATATGTAGGCATATGTGTATATACATAATATAATATAAATAATGAACACATGTATATTTATAAATTGACAAAAATTTGTATTTTCTGACTGTCTCTAGCGGGTTAGCAGCTCACCATTCAAACTTCTGTTCGGGAGGGCATCTGGCAGGTGCTTTTCGGAGCACTTTTGTCGAATATCCGCCCACCTTAACTGCTCTAGTCTATAAATAGTTACATTATTTATGGAGTCATAAGGCATAAGTTTTATAAATTGACTTGCCTCTGAAAAAGCCATAAGTTCTCACAGTTGCTGATTTACCTTTTATGTATTGCATTAAAATTACAGTATTATGACTTCACCGATATCGCCGAGGAAGCCGCACGCCAATTTACGGAATACCTGTCGAATAAGTTTCCAAATGCGGACGCAAATGTTGCCATCGATAAACAGACGAGGGAGGAGGTGAGCCGGCGAGCCAATGTTATCGCCAGCTATGCCCTCAACGAGGATGACAATCTCCTTGCCTTTGCCATTGCGGCGCCCAGCATACAGGCAGTTGTTGTCAAATTCAGGGACAATGTGACGGTCAGTTTTGCAATTACTAAAAAAAAACAAATTTTAGCTAATGGATTTGAATGTGTTTCCATGCTTTCTTCAGATACCACCGAATCAGGTGCATAACAAGGATTACTTGGGCTCCTATTGGCGGGAATTGGGGTAAGTTGAAGAGTAACATGACCTAGGCTTAGATTAGATATAGATTTAGATTTGTTGGAGACTTAAGTTTTATAAATTGATAGTTTTACTTTGTTTACAGTTCAATTTCATAGATTTTTTTCTTATAGAAATTTACCAACTAAACCGATTGAAAAACCCAATCAAATTCTTAATTATGGTTAAGCCTTTTATCATTGGTTTTATTGGTATTCGTCATTACTACGTTAGTTACTTCTACTTAACGATTATTTGTTTAGTTCGCGTGCAGCGGTTTTGGGGTTTCTAATTGATTTGATCCTATCGAAAAAATACTTCTAGGGCCGCCTGGAACAGCAGTGATGGCACCCAGGAGTGGGGAGCGCCCTTTCGTGACTGCAACCTGTTGACGGGGCGCTGGCTGTGGCCATTTCGCATATCATTCACCAACCACCGAATCAAGTAAGATATATATAAAAAATTCGATATATGTACGTATCATATATACGCCTTAAGCGATATCCAAATGGATTTTAAATAATTATAATAAATGAATGAAGTTAAGTGATTGACTATCAATCCTGCCAAATTTATTGTATCTATAAGAGATTATAAATAAAAAAGTGTTATATATTTAATAAGATGTCTTCTTTACATTTTACAGAATTGTTGCTGCTGCATTTGTGGCAGCCGACGAGGATATGTGCAACGATGGTCTGGAAGAGGTCTTTGGTCGACGTCACGGGTTAGAAAATAGCAATATACATTAAACATAAAACATAAAATGTAAATTACAAAACTATTTTAAACTTTCAGTTGTGATCGCAACACCACATTCTGCCTGCTGACTGAGAATAAGCCGGCGGCGACTCGTGATCTTTACACGTGCCTCTGTCGCGAATCCTATTATCTGCCCAATGCCACATTGCAGGGATTTCGCGGTGATCTCGTCGAGCTGTCGGAGGGCTTCGACAACTACTCGTGTGTGCCCTGTCCGGGCGGATGTAGCAACTGCGACTTGCATGGCGCTTGTCTCACCTTTCAGGTGGATGATGCACTCAACGTTGATGCCTGCCTGCGCATCCTGGTTGCCATTGTCCTGGGCGCATGCATTCTGTGCTGTGTGGTCCTCAGCGTTATTGTGTTTAGGCAACGTAAATGCAAGGTTCGTTTATATTTGAGCTCCAATTAAGATTTAATTATTAAAAGTAAATATTACATTTAATTTGTAATTTATTTTTTACTTTCTGTATATTTAATTAAATAAATAAATAAATTGTGGAATATTTTTTAGGCCATCGCCTCGGGCATGTGGACCGTGCTGGAGACCATATTGCTCGGCATTGTTTTACTTTATGCATCGGTGGGTAATTTCTTCCTTACTCAGTGAAAACTATTTCCATTTTTTATAAGCTTGTCGATATCTTTATTTTACTAATTCAAACTGTTTTTAGGTTGCCGTCCATTTCTTTCCCGCCTCCACGGAGCGCTGCCTGCTGGAGCCTTGGCTGCGTGAGATCGGCTTCATTACGTGCTATGGCGCCATTATATTGAAACTATATCGCCATCTGGTTGACTTTCGAACACGCAAGGCTCATCGCTGGGTGCTGCGCGACGTGGATCTGCTCAAGTATCTGGGCACCATGGTCTTTGCCGTCATCTGTTACATGTCCGCATTTACCGCATCCTCACTGGATCTGCTGGAGAGCGCGCAAATGGAGAGTCTACGGGAGGCCAGCACAAACACTTGCCGTCCCCTCAAATGGGAGCTGGTGACGCAGACCAGCGAGATATTCATTCTCTGCTTTGGCCTCCACTTGGCCATTGCCAGTCGCAATGCCAACACACAGTTTCGGGTAAGACAACTAAACGAGGGAAAAAAAACAAATTACTTAAAGGACACTGGAAGGACACTGGTCACAATCGAGCTGAGCAGAGGCACCAGGTCCAAAATGTCTTTTGGACTGCTATAATCAGATCCACGGGGAAGAATAGATTTTTTAGATTCACCGGTCTCTTAACAGGACACTGTAGACTAAAAAGTCACGTACCTAAACCACACTCAGAAAAAAATTCTGACTTCATTTCAGAAAATCGTCCTGAAATCTAGAAAGTTTTCGGGTTTTTAGAAATAATTTCCAAATATAACAAAAATGCCTTAAAAATGAGAAAGGATTGAGTTATTATTTAAAAAAAAAAATTTTTCTATTATCAAGAAATACATGAAAGAAATACAATGAAATTTACTGGCTTATCTTTTATATTAGAGTTTAGCTGTTGTCTGTTTTAGAGACTATCTAAAAGGTTTATATATGTGAAATCCTCCAATTCTAATGTTTGTAAATAATACAAATATTTCTAAGTTTTAGAAAAATTTACCCTCAAATTAAGAAAAGAAAAAAATAAGTTAATATAAATATACTTATAATATATATAAATATTAAGCTGATTTAATCTTACTGCCAAAGTATGTCGAATTTCTAAAACGTAGACTATTTTTTTCTGAGTGTAATAATAATCATTTGATTTAAATCCACTTTATTCTCTGTTTTTTTTTTTTTTGCAGGAGCGTCAATTTCTGGTTACAGCGTTGACGCTAGAATTTCTCGTATCGTCCAGTTTCTATTTTCTGCGCTTTGTTTATTTGCCGGAAATGAGTCCCAGCGCCATTTTGTTGGCGCTCTTTGTGCGCTCGCAGCTGACAAATAGCCTCGCCTTGGGTTTGATATTTGTGCCAAAATTGTGGTATCAGCACAAGCAGGTAACAAAAATTGTTGTCAATTTTTCATTTATTCAGTTATTCGGTTATGGTTATGGTTTTCCATTAACTTTTGTTTTCCAATTAAGATTTATTTCTTGCTGACTAGAGTGCGTCCAAAGTTTGTTCGAGTGCATACAACGAGTTATATAAAATATATATAAATATACGATATATACTAGAAAGTTGAGGTAATCCTTAGCTTAGGCTTGATTTGTGCTCATTTGTCCGCAATCATCGTCGTCGTCTTCGTAGTTGGTCCACATAAAAGTAAATTTGAAACTGTAAAACGTAAACGTACTCGTCCTTTGTATTTGGTATTCACATTTTGGTTGAGGAAACGATTTTTGTAAACAACATCAAAAAAAATTTTAAAAAGAAAAACAATTTGAAACTGCTAAAGAAAGCTTTTTGCTAAACCAAATTATTTGTCAATTGTTCTGGTTTTCGTTTGTGGCGTTGAATTTTTGGTTTTGGTTTTGTTGGTTTTAATTTTAGAAAATTATCCAATTTTAGTATTAAGCTAACATTTTTCATGAATTTTAGTCAAGCTATGAAGTTGCTGCAAGTGTCATTTTTATACAAGAATGTTTACTGTATGTATTTCGATTTGATTTCATCTCATCTACCATTCCAAACCAAACCATTTCGTTCTCGTTTCCATTGTGTTTTCTAACTGCACTCACATTTAAGTTGCACAGCTGTACTTTAAGACGTTTACTAACACTGGCTGCATGAAACTTTATTGTGTCTGCATGTACTTTTTTTCTAATCACAACAGCTAACAATGACAAAAATCGGTTTCCTTTTTAAAACCCAACATGCATACCAAAACTATATAAAAGTATTTTCTTCTTCAACTTCTTACACAACAATTTATAATCTTTATATATATATATCTATATATGTCTATCTCAGTCCACCTCTCTCTCTCTCTCTCTCTCACTCTCTGTTAACCCGTGCCTAACTCTCTAACTAAGTAGTTGTGTTAGCTAAAAGTCCAAAAAACGTTTAGTCGTTGTCACTTATGATTAGAATTTGACCTATGTTTATCTCATTTACAGCACAACAAGAGACACAACAACGCCCCCACAAGCACACATAAATAAGAGAATATACACATACATATATATATATATATATACACATATATATAATCCATATATACTACTTAAGAATCCATCAAAATTCAAATACACAATTGACACAAAGAGCACCGAACTTTCTACTATACTTACTTTCAATTCTTTCGATTCTATTAATTCCTTGACTCTCAGTTGTATTTCCGTTTCCGTTTCCCTTATCCGTTATCCGTTTTTTAAGTTTTTTGTCTGTTTTAGTTTTGTGTACTTTCCTGAGTGTGTGTTTTGCGGTGTTTGTTGCATCTTCATAGCTTGCAGGTTCGTTCGCTTGCGTATGATCTATCAATGCGTTTACCTGTGGATGCTTTCAAGGGTACGTCACACGATGCCGGCCAGAGATTGGGTGGCGGCTATGCGGGACTGTGCCTGGGCGATCCCGACATCGGTGAGCTGACCATATCCGAAATGACTCCCGAGGATATACGTGCCGAACTCAAAAGGTAAGATTCAGCAAACCCCCCCAAAAATAACATACACAGAGAGAAGACGAAGCAATCTTTCCATGGTATACAAAAACACCTATGCAGTGTGTTCCAATTCCAATCGTTTCACATTGTTTTTCCCTTTGTAGACTGTACACACAACTGGAGATACTGAAGAATAAGACGCTGCGTCAGGATAATCCGCACATTAGTAAAAGACGCGGCGGTCGGAAGGCGGGTCATCGTCGCTTCTCATTGCAAGTAAGTGACTGAAGACCGACTGGCCGTCAAGTCAGACGGTTCACTGTAAAATACATTTTCATCAAGGCCAAATCCAGCCAGTGAAAAGAAAACGAAACGAAAAGAAAACAAAAGAAAAGAAAATACAAAAACCTCTTACTTCTTCCAAAGCAAGCGAAAAGTTATCTCGAATGTTTTTTATAAAAAAACTGCAAACTTAATTCAAGATCTTGTGCCCCGCCCCTTCCGGCCCCCCTCTATCAAAGCCTAAGCTCTTCCCAATTTCTTTCTATAACTGTCTCTCTTTAACTCCACCACTTCCAATTGTAATATCTTTTCTGTGTCAATATATAAATATTAATATGAAATATATCTATATATATATATCATTGTTCTTGTCATGACTTGTAAAAAAAAACTCAAACCCACCAACAAAAACCAATACTCTAAATGTAGAAAAAGGGCAGCAAAGATAAGGTAAGAACCGTCAGTCACTCTCTATCTGTCTCTCTCTCTCTCTCTCTCACTGTCACCTACACGTAAAGCTAACCTTAAAAAAACCTAAAGCCTAAATCTAAAAAAAAAATCAAAAAAATACCTAACTATGTGTTGTGAATAATCAGTAAAATACAAGAATTGCGCACGTTTGTCTTGTAGCGCCTAAATCTACGTAACATATCGATAAATCTAATAACAACCTTGTACTTAGCATGTAGGCCTAAGAAACCCACTAATCAAAAAAAAACTAAAACCTGTTTGTCCTTTTTGTAACTCGAGCGTCTCTGACCCCGCATGTCCTCAATAGCACTTCATAAATACTCTAAACTAAAAACAAAAACTAAAACTAAGAAATCTAAAAAAAAAAACAAACAAAAAACTAACAACAATAATAAAAATGCACTAAATTCACTGCTAATAAAAATAATCGTAAATGGCCCAATATAATATGAAGAAACCCCCATTTCGCAGGCTTTAAGTGCCAAACATCGCAGCAATAAGCATCATCAGGATATCGAAATAACCGAAGCGGAACCATCTCGCACCCCCGAGGATTCAGTCTGCAGTGCGGAGGGGCCGACAGATACATATGCTGAAATATCGGGCATATCGCATTCAATGCTATCCCATTCCATGGTCTCTCATTCCGTTGTCTCGCACTCCAAGTAAAAACACAAACTGTACATAATATAATATAACTCAAGAGAACTATGTATGTATATCTGATATATATATATATATCTCTGATATATATATATGTATATGATATACTAAAAAAAATATGTATATGATTGTATGTAACTGAGAATTAGGTGCAGCATTATAACAAATAGCGCAACAACACAAACAATAAAAGAAATTACTTTAATTTTTGCAATGAGAAATGAAAAATGTTAATTACTTATATGAAAAACAAAAAAAAAAGACACAAATATACAAACAATACAAAATATTACTTTATTTTAACGGATGGCATAGAAAAAGTGTTGAGTAACAACAACAAAAAAAATACAAATACAAATAAAAAATGTGCTCGTAAGCAAAGAAAACATTTTTGTACAATTTTGATAAATTTTTAGAGCTGTTTTTTGTGCGTGTGGTTTAAGTTTTTTTTTATTCGTTTTTGTTTTGTGACAGGAGCAAAAAATGCGAGGATGAGAAGGAAGAAGAAAATAACAGAGCCCACCTGTGTAGGTAAACGTTAAACTGTTTTATCAAATAAGATATCTCAACACTTATTTGTTGTTGTTTCTATTTCTATTTCCGTTTTTTTTTTTTTTTTGTAATTATGTGTTAGAATCTTAACTGAGTTCCTTGAAATGTAACTAAGAAAAAATACTTAATAATTTGGCACTCATTTGTATCCGCAATAAATTGAAACAAAGAAAACTCGAAAGGACAATTCCTAATGGTCGAATGATGGCTAGTTAAATCAGTTGTAAATTTGAGCTTATAGGCAATACTTACTTATAAAACATACTAGAAATTCCTCTCCCCTCATACTTTAAACTACAATCGACGCCTAGACTTTAAAAAATATGTATGTACTTTATATATATATATATATACTTAATATAAATTGTAAAACCACACCAACTAATCAGCGTATAGCATAATATGTATGCATATCTGAAGTATGCGCATTAAATACTCCGATATTGTGAGAGATCAAAGCCACGCAATACCAAAGAGAGGCACTTGTTAACTTTGTGACAGAACGATCAAAAAAGTATTGTTGTATAATTTTACACTATAGAGAAGGAGATGAGACAGGACGGGAAGGGGGCATGTTTTGGGGGGGATAAAGATCGTTCAGAATGTTTAGTAAGTAGTCAAATACTTATGAATAATAGTCAAGTAGCTGAAAATTTGTCCATCAACATTTTTCACATTCCAACAAAATTGCTTTTGATTCCAGAAAAAAAAAAAACCAAAAATTAATATGTAAAGAAAAGAAAACAAATTTATGGCATGTTTTACGATTTTTGGTGTAGGGTATTTTTGAAAATTTCTAGTATTGTACGAAAACCGTCATACATTTGAAATGTATTGGAAATATATTACTCAGTAGCCATTTAAGACGTTTTTGATGCTCGTTGGAAATGAATGAAAGCGTAATATTCTGAATATATAAGTCCAAATGAAAATAGACAAACAAACAAAAATACAAGCCATTCAAACATATAACAAACAGTATACAGTACATAGGCATTTATATAAAAAAATTATTAAATTAGTTAAAGAAACACGCACACACACACACACACAACATGCATGCAACAAGTTGAGCATTTAAAAAGAAAAAACCAATAAAGAAAAATACAACTTTTTGATTGCGTTTGATCAAAAAGGCATGTGTAAAAATATTGATAAATTGAAGTAAAGGAATTCTACCAAAATAATATATATATATAGATATATATATATTATATATAACTAATGATATTATATATATAAATTATATAGGAATGTATGTAATTGACATATGTATGTGTGTGTGTATCAGAATTACAATAAATATATAAAACCAAAATAAAATAAGGAGGCAAACTAAAAGTTAGTTGCTCATTGCAAATGAAATTCAAAACACAAAACCAAAATACATTTTACAAGTGTGATAGTGTTCATAATATTCGTTCATTGTAATTAAACAAAAAGGTAATAAAACTAAACAATGAGATGATAATGCAAAGTGTGTCATAGCAATTAAAATGCATTAAACGTTGCGTTATATATATATATATATATATATATATATATATACATCATATATACGTGTATTCCCGTTTAGTCTAAGGGGCAGGGCAAAAGCAAACTTGTAACGCAAATACTTTCAAAATGAAATACAAAACAGAAAACCAAACAAAAACAAGAGCGAAAAATAAAAATAAAAAAAATGGTACTAATAAACATAAATAATGATTAAATCAAAAGCATTTTGTGTATTTCTTTTATAAAAATGACTCCAATAAAGTCGCCCAGTCTGTTTAAAGAGAACTTCAATGCACTGCACAAAAAACTAAAGTCACGGTAAGTATTTTTAAAGAATGCAATAAAAAAAAGGCCGGAATATAAACAAATCTAATACAAACACTGTCCTTATTATATTTCTACAAGTCGGACCTTTATTCATTAATAGTATACTATTTATCTCTTCAATTTTTTGTTTTTAAATATAATTGAAATATTGCTTGAACATGATTTCAAGTATTTGTTTTCTTTTCGTTAAATTGCAGTTTACATTCAATACATACAAATTATTAGATAATTAAATTTAAATTTAGTTTTAATTACAGTTTTAATCACTATTTACTCACTTTGCTTGCTTTGTTCGCCATTTTGGTAGTTAGTTAGTCAATTAGTTTATTAGTTAGGATCTAGCAGTTGTTATTATTATTATTATTTATACTTTATATATATTTATATAGTACGTATCGTTTATTTTCTCTTCTGTCAACAAGATTAGTTTTTGAATTAGATTAGCTTGCAGTTTAGAGAGAAGCGAGCTTTGCATTTGGTTTTGGTTGCTTTTGATCGTCAACGTGGTTTATTAAAACTTAAAAAAAATTACAATAATTAGTAGTTACTTAGAAATTATTTTGGTTTTACATGCGCTGCGCATTTGTTTGTTGCTGTGCTGTGTGTGCATTTTAGGTAGACTTTTTGTTTGAGTGTATTAATAATAGAATAATGTAATATTAGTTATATATTATACAATTCTATAACACTATATATCTGGTTTGTTTTTCTTGTCGTTTTTTGTAAAAATGTACACTTTAATTGATTTGGTTTGTTTTTTTTGTTTGCTACAGTTTAGTTTTAGTTTTAGTTTTAAGATTTAGTACATACAACTTGCAAGTAAATTAATTGATTAAAAATCGTTTAATTGTATTAAAAAAAATTATAGTATATTACAAAAACAATTATAATTATTATGTATATAAGCTTGTTACGTTACGACTGTTTTGTTTTTTTCTCTTTCCTTGTTGTTTTTTAAAAGCTTAATTTATAAAAAATTGTTAATAATATATTTATATATATATTGTATGTTTGTTTTTTTTTTTTTTTTGTTTTTTAAACTAGTTTGGCGCGTAAAGCTGTGTTGCATTTTGCATAGATTTTTGTTTTTGTTTTTCGATTTCAATTTGCTCTTAAATACTTTTTGTCTTGCGTTCAAAATGCGCTCAAAGAACTTAAATAATTTATAAAAACAATGGTTAACATTTAGAATGTACGAACCGTTAAGCAGTTAAATTAAAAAAGAAAACAAACAAAATTACAAAGAAATCACTAAACAATATTAATATGTAATTAGTTTTAAAACGATTTCCATAATTTATATCGTAAATAAATTTAAAGCCAAACAAACGAGATCCTGCTCGTATGCAAATTAAGCAAAAGCGTTTAGAGTTTTCATCTATGTTTGAGTAAAAAATTTCGAAAAATTCATCATATTTTTCAAGCTTGAGAATAAATAACTTGGGGTTTGTTTTGTTTTTTTTCTTTTTCTTTTTTTTTTTAGTTCTTGTTCGAATAAAGTGTGCGTGTAATGGTGTTTTAATGTTTATAAAACAAATTAATTAATTTAAGTTTTGCGCGTAGTTAAATATCGTCAACATGAGTTTTACCTTGAAACAAGTTTAAATCATTTAAATATTTGATAAAAAATATTTCTCTTTATATGTATAAATAGTAGAGATGTGTAAAATTGTGTGTGTGTGTGTGTGTGTGTATGGGTGTGATTGTGGATATGGGTGTAGGTGTATATGTATGTGTGTGCGTATATAAAAAGGTTTATCCGTTACGATACAAAATAATATGCATTAAAATCTCAGAGAATAACAAAATTATGACTAATGTTGTATATGACATGACATGACAAATATTATAATTACAATAAAAAGGAAAATCAAATTAACCAAATCAAATATCGATTGCATTAACTTAACAAATAGAAAACGCCATTTTTCTCTTGTGTTTTTGAGTGTGTTGTAGTACAATTTGTTACTATTTGTTATTATTATTCTTTTTCATCTTGTTTTTTACTAATTTTTGTTTTCATTTTAGATTGCAAAAATTCTAATTTTAAGTCTAGCAGCACTTTGAAGATTTGCCAGTCGTTGGTTGCGTGCTTGTCTCCACCCGATGCTTGTTAAAGTTGTGTCGTCTTTGAAAACGTCTTTCATTTCAGTTGCTCTTCGCTCCTCCGTCAGTCCCGTCCAGTTGCTCGACTCCAGTAGTAGTTCCAGTCCACAATCGAATATTCTCGTTACTTAGGGTTTCTTTGGGTCAACTATTATTGTGCGCCCACCGCTGGGCCTATCCTAGAGCGGATGCAGCTTTGTCGTGTGCACGGTGAGTGCGCTTCGTTGCGTAAATCGTTTGTCACAGTACGGACAGGTGTACGGCTTTTCGCCGGTGTGTGTGCGTATGTGTTTCGTGAGATAGTCCTTCACGCTGAAGGACTTCTCACAGTAGCCACAATGAAACGGTTTTTCACCTGCAATAACGCACAAGAGACAAATACACCAAGATTAGCATTTACCAAACGCCCTGCACTGCAAATTTCATCTGGATATTATGCCGTGCAGTACCAAAACTTTCGTTTCGTTTGATAGATTTAGGTACAGTATTATTTTTTTTATTATTATATATAGTTATGCATATGTAGATACGATTTGCACGTAATTATCAAACTAATATATAAATATATATATGTATATATATAAATGTATATATGCTGATATATGCGTGAACATAATATATATTTGGTTGTTTGGTTTGTGAGTTAAAATGCAATTAACGAGATACATTATTACGTATGAGATGAGGCGGGGCGATACGTTGTTTCTGGTATTTGCTTTTGGTTTTCCTTTTTTACTTTATTTTTTTCTCTTTGTTTTCATATTTTATCATTTACTTGCAGAGGAATCTTTAATTTTGCCATAGAATTCTGAGTCTTAGATCTGGATTAACCAGCTGCAAAAATCTTAAAGTTAGCAATAACCAAGTATAGATATTGAAAAACTTGGAGTTGTTGTTTATAAAGTGACCTCTAAGTACCATAATAACTTTTGTGTAAATATAGTAAAATTGTATATATTTGAATTTATAAGAAATTATTTTAAATTATTATTTTCTTTTAATATTTGTTACGAAATCCTTTTTAAAATCTCTATAAGCTATAAAGTTATGTAACTAAATTCTCTTTAAAATGAACATAACCATAAAAACATTTCAGCTGTTTGAAGAACAAATACTTGAAGATTTTCACACAAAATTAGAACCTCTGCAAGTTTGTTTAATTAATTATCGAAATAGTTTGTTTTATAATTATTATTATTATTTTTTTTAATGTTGAATTATAATTTCGAAATTCAGTTGTGCACTGGCGAAACGAAGACTATGGCAAAAGTGAACCAAGATCAGCTCGAAACACGAAGAGCAATTCTTATTCTGAATAAAGTGTGACGCACACAAGTGCAAATGATCGCAACTGTACATTTTTAGATCATGTGGACTCTGTGTGTGTTGTGGGCCGCAGTTTCTCTTTCATTTTGCCATGTTCTTATTCCGGCGTGTGTGTGTTTTGGTGTGTGTGTTGGTGTGTGTGTTTTGGTGTGTGTGTGGGCGGAGCGAGCGCGGTGAGAGCGAAAGTATCGAGTATTTAATATTGAATATTGAGTATTGAGTATGACAAATGGATATGAAGGCATTTTGCATAAGAGTTTTAACTGATATATATATAATATATTTTTTTAAATACATTTTATTTTTTTTTGGTTTTTTTTTTTGGTTTTGTGTATTTGCACTTGAACGAGTCGAGTTGATTTGAGATTGAGTTTGAGTTGATTGATTGATTGACTGAGTTGATTTGAGAGTTGATTGATTGATTGATTGATTGATTGACTGACTGAATTGATTTGATTTGAAAATATATTGCTTCTCACCCGTGTGAGTCGTTAAATGTTTGTTCAGGTAATCCTTAACAGTGAACGCCCTGTCACAATAGCCACATCTAAATGGTTTCTCACCTGTATGTATGCGAGTGTGCTGTTTTAGTGTATTCGATTGAGTGAAGGACTTGCCGCAGTAGGAGCACGTGTAGGGGCGTTCTTTGGGCGTGGCGCTGTATTTTTTTTATTTATTTTTTTTTAATTATTATTATTGAGTAATTTATTGCAGTGCGGGGTAAAGAAACAAAAAAAAAAAAGAAGAGAGAACAAGAGAGAGAGAGAGAAAAAAGAGATGAGAATAAATTGATTAGTAACATTCGTAATTGAGTAATATTCGTTGCACACTTAAACAGGGCAAAAAATAGAGAGATAGAGACATAGATAGAGAGAGATAAAGAGTACACCACATTGAGAACGCATGGGCCACGCCCCATGGCACTTGAAGGACGCGCCCATGCGCTCATCCATCTGGACTGATCTTAAGGAAAACAAACAAAAATATAAATAAATGGTTAACGGTCAATCGGTAAACGGTAATCGGTAATCGGTTATGTTAAACAAAGACGCTCGCCAACCAGTTGCTCAAATCAGTAAAATCTTACAGATCTACCAGCCTCAAAGCCTATTACAGTGGTCGCTATAGCTGATTTAGCAAATGAACATTAACTACATATTATTATATAATATTAATTAACCCATATTAAGGAAACTTATGCGCAAAGCGAATTTGCAATGTCGTTTTAAAAGAGTTAATATAAATATAGATCTCTAGTTTCTTGTGCTACACTAAACTCAATTTTAAATGCTTCCAGTGAATAATTCACGAATAATTCTAGAAATTTCAACTTCTACTTAGATATAAATATTTAAATAATATTAGTTAAACAAATTGCAAAGGGCTTTCTCAAAATACTAAAGTGTACACAAAGAAAATAAAATAAATATAAATTGTAAATGCATTTTTCTAACTTCTGGGCAAGCTCCCAGAGATCCACCATACTTTACATAGAGAGCATACCGGCAGCAGCGTCTGGAGATGTGTATGTGTGTGTGTGGGTGTGCTATCGTGTGTGTGTGTGTGTGTATATATAGAGGATGGGTGTATAACATATAAAAATGGATTTACTCTGCTTCGCCCGTGTGGATTTTGCGGTGCATGGCCAGCGTGCCGGGCGTCTTGAACGTTTTGGGGCAATCGGGACATTTGTGCCGGATCTTGTGCGCCAGATCAGCGGGCACCGTTTGCGTATTTGTGCTGACCAGGACACTGGTTGTGGCGCCGGGTGTGCCAGCCGGTTGAACGCCAGGATTCGCTTGTATGGCATAGACAGGCACTGCATTGACAACATCGCCGCTATCGCTCAAACTGAGCGGCTCCTCCTTGATGATCACCTGAATGTACAATATACGAATTATCTACGAAACTGTATATGTGGAAGGGAATTGGGACATTTACCTGGGGATGAGTTACCGTTGCACCATTGCCATTCTTGAGCAGCTTAACTGTCAGCGGCGGCACCTTCAACGCTGTCGGATCACTCAAATCTTCCTGATGCTCCTGCTGTTGCTGCTGCTGTTGTTGTTGTAGTTCACGCTGTCGTTGTTGCTCCTGCTGCTCGAGATGCTGATGATGATGATCCTGCTGTTGCTGCTGCTGTTGTTGTTGCTGCTGCAATTGTTGCTCCTGTTGTAGCTGCTGTTGGTGTTGCTGCTCCTCGGGCGTCAGTCTCATGTCACGCGGCGCAATCGCTGGCAGATCATCGGGTGTCACCGGCGCCTCCTGATGTTCTATATACGCTTGCTGGCCGGCGGCCAACATGGCTGCATTGCACACAGCGCCGCAGTGAGAGCATTTGTATTCGTTGGGATTCTGCGTCACAGAATTGACACCGTAAATGCTGCAGACAATGCAGCGTGCAAGAAATGCCGTCTGATGCGTCAGCCGATGGTGTTCATCCACCTCGAGGGCGCTACCAAACTTATCATCACAGTTGGAACACGCATAGCTAAGCGATTTCAGTTGCTGTTGCTGCTGTTGCTGCTGCTGTTGTTGCTGCTGTTGCTGATGCTGGCCGAGTGTTGTTATTGCACCCTGGGCATTTAGGGTGATCCCGTGACAGAGTTGCATATGCTCGGCAACATGCTGGGCACGATCGAATTGTTGGGGGCACATCGGGCAATAGTGCGAACTGTGTACATTTGGATCCATGCTGAGATTGGGTAGAAACGTTGTCTTTAGCGTATCCATATTGATGCCAACTCCTCCTGCTGCTGCTGCTGCTCCTGCTCCTCCTCCTGCTGCTGCTGCTGCGGCTGCTGCTGCTGCGGCGGCTGCTGCTGCTGCTGCGGCTGATGCAGATGTTATATTGTTGGCTATCACGGCGGCAACTTGATGTGTCGGCTGCTGCTGCTGCTGCTGATGTTGCGCATGCGTATGCGGATGCGGATGCGGATGTGGATGCGTATGTGGATGCGGATGTGTTGCTCCTTGATGTTCCTCGGGGCGTGGCAGACGCAATTCCTGTGTATTTGTGCTAGACTTTAACATTTCTCTTTTATCAAGACTGGCAGGCAGGCAGGTGGGCAGGCGGGCGGGCAGGCAGGCGGGCTTTAAGCGCTTTAGATGCTCTTTTTCTTTTCTTTATATAATTATTTTATTTTTGATTAGTAGCTGATTAGTATGAGGCGCTTATATGTGTTGTTTTCAGCAGAACAAACTCTGTAATGATGGATTTTGAAATGAAAGTAAGTCAAATCAATTTGATTTTATGAATCGTTTTTGTAAAGCTTAACAAAATAATTGAATTTTGCAGTCTAATATGAAGATTTAAATGCCTGTGTAATAAACCAATTCAGATAAAGAAACAATACAATTTTTCATTAGTTTTCTAAAATGTTGGGTCATTTTATGTATTGTTTATGATATGAATAATCAATCATAAATCAACCAACATTTTCGAGTAATTTTATGGATTGATTATGAGATAAAAAGCAACTAAATTGGATAAAATACAACTGTGATAAAAATGAATAAGCCAATTTGTCAAAAGTTGAAGTCAAGACAGCCTAATAAATTCAATTTAATGAAATGATCTTTAAATTTAATTATTATATTTATTTAAAAATAAGAAATATAATAAAAATAAAATATAAATGGCCGAACCTGAGCAAAGATCAAAATTCACTCATCAATAAAGTAGATGTCCTTTAATGAATTTAACTAAAATATGCTTCTCAGCTAAGAATTGAAAAGTATGGCATGCAAATTTGCTTTCGCTTCTCCTGCATTACTCACACACACACACGCATACACACGTGTGTGTGTCCCCGAGGGACGCCGTGCTGAGGAGGCGAAGAAAGCGAAATTCGAAGCGAGCTTCTGATTGGATTTCGAGGCTGAAAATGAAAAGCCCGCTGTCCTTTTTAGCAGCAAGTGTGTAATGGAGAAGAAAAAAAGCTAAGTAATAGAAGAAAACACACACATAGAGAGCGAGAGAGAGAGAGAAGAGAGTAAGTGAAAGAGTGGAAGCAAGAAGCAGAAGCAGCAAAAAAGGCGGCGTAAATTAAGCGTAAATTAGCACAGAAAATCAGAAATTTGATGAGCCCAGCGGCAACAGCAACAGCAAAGGCAACGGCAAACACAACGGCGGCGGCGGCTCTCGCCTCGCGCGCAAAACCGAAACGAAATCGGAAATCAGTTGGCACTGTTCGCTGCTGCTGCGGCGGCTGCTGCTGCTGATGCTTGTTCTGCTTCTGTTGGTGCTGTTGCTGCTGCTTCTACCGATCTCTGTTTGCTGTGTTTCTCTACTTCTGTGCTCCCCCTCAAGTTTGACCCCCAAGTCTCCCCCCCACACACAATGCGTTCGAATTGAAAAAAAAAATTTTTTTCGGTCCGTCACTGTCATATTCTAAATTCGGAATTCTATTTTGATTTTTTTTTTTTTTTTGGTGTGTGCTGCGCGTTTTGGCTACTTAGCCCTTACCAGCGTATCCACGTATTGCACTTGGGTGTTTTTTATTACGGCCGTTTAATGGCGGAATTGCCAATCAATCCAACAACATTTTCTTTGTATTTGTGAAACAAAAATACATTAACTTTTCACTTTTATTATTATTTTTGGCGAAAAATGTACAAGTACAACAAAAAGTATCGACGACATCGATACTTTTCCATATTTCACTTTGCGCTCATATTCCACTATCGATATATGCAATTTGGTGTTGCCACCTGACTTAAGCCATTAGATTAACAGAAGTGCATTACATCAGCTGACGTAAATTCTTCTACAATGTGTACTTCAAAATATGTAACTTCTAAATTTTGTTTGGTTGTGAAGTTTAATGATTTTCTTAAAAAATACATGTCACCTGTCACATAATTATAAATTATTTTTATTTATTTTTTAAGTGTACAATTTGTGTACAGTTTAACAGTCTAGGCGATACCTATTTAATTACTTGAACCATGCTCCTCACTTAACAGAATTGCTCCGCGCCTTACAGAGCTTTTATTAGTGTGCTTTGCTATTTCACAATTAAGCAAAAACACAAAAAGTTTGGTGATTGAAAACAAAGAATTCTTAAAGACTATTTCAATTTAGTTGGCAATTGCTGGCCATTGCAATATTAACACGGCCAAGTAGCCGACTTGGTGGAACAGTCATTCCATAACAGCAGCAGACCAAGCAAACAAATCAAATTTACTGCAAGGTGGTAAAAAGTTTTTCTTTTTCTATGGAACATTATTGTTATAATTTCGCTTTTAGTTTAAGTTGAAATAGTTATGACGTCGCCTTGGTCCAAGGGCAGCAATGAGCCCGTGCAGACGGCCAGTCTGGCGGACATAATGTCTGAGCAATATGCCCATAAATTGCACGACAAGGAGCTGAAACAGCAGCAGCAAATTGAGAAAAGGAAACAGCAGCAGCAACAACAACAGTCGCCGCCCGTGGCAGCCGCGCCCACTTCGCCCAGCTACTCGGATGTGGCGAGTACATCAAGAGACGGCAGTCAGGGGGAGCAAGAGCAGTGGGAGGATTACAGAATACTGCTCGAGGAGCAGGCAAAAGCGGAGGAGGAGGAAGCAGAATCAGATGCAGTCATTGCCCAAATGCTTCAATCCCAATTCGATCACGAATACAATGAGGAACTGCGTCGCATCGAGCGACAGCAGAACAAGCAATCCAAAGTTACCATAACACTCAATAAATTTCTGCGCAGCGGCGATGCTGAATTTTTGCACGACACCGAAGCGGTATCGGAGGATGAGGATGAGTTGGAGCGACAGAAACATGACTGGGATCGTTTCGAGACAAATGAAAAGATGCTCGATGCGATACCCAAATGTGGCTTCACCAAGCTGGACAAGGATGGGGAAATGATCACCAAACACGATCCACAATTGTGCGAGGTGCGAAATGCACAGCGTGTGATGTCCTTTCCACCTGAATTCCCCACGGGAGATGGCGCCTGCTTTGACATGAAGCTGTCCAATAAGGTGAGCAGCTTGATCTGCAATCTTTAAATATTATTATTATTCAATATTGATTGCCATTGACAGGTATTCAATCAGCTAAAGGCGTATTCGCGACGAGGACGCGCCGATCGCAAAGAGAAAATGGCCACCGCTGAGATGGGCGTCGATGCCGCCACACGTCTGCTGCTCTACAAGCTGATCAACAATCAGATATTGGAACAGATCAATGGCATTATATCCACCGGCAAGGAGGCGGTCATTTTGCACGCCAATTCGGATGCCAACTATACGGGGAACAACGAGAATGGACATGGCAATGCGCTGCTTGTGGCGCCCGAACTGCTGCCCAAGGAGTGCGCCATAAAGGTGTTCAAGACGACGCTGAATGAGTTCAAGCAGCGTGATCGTTACATCAAGGATGACTTTCGGTTTAAGGATCGTTTCAGCAAACAGAATAATCGTACCGTCATCAATATGTGGGCGGAAAAAGAGATGCATAATTTGATGCGGATGCAGGCCATTGGGCTGAATGTGCCCGATGTTGTGGTGCTAAAGAAACATGTACTTGTCATGCGCTTCATCGGCGACAATCACAATGCGGCGCCCAAGCTTAAGGATGCCAGGCTCAGCGTTGCCGAGCTGAGCTGCGCCTACGAGGAGATTGTGGCCGCCATGCATAAGATGTACAACGAGGCCAAGTTGGTGCATGCCGATCTCAGTGAATACAATATACTCTGGTTTGAGGGCAAGTGCTGGTTCATCGATGTCGCCCAGAGCGTTGAGCCGGAGCATCCCAGTGCGCTGGAGTTCCTCATGCGCGATTGCGCCAACATTGTCAACTTCTTTGACAAGCGGGGACTGGCCAACATCTACAGCAAGGAGCAGCTATTTGAGTTCATCACTGCCTTAAATGCGGAGACGCATAATGCGGCGATGCTGGAGCGGATTCATACGCGTGGCGCCTCCATCAATCAGGCGACGGTGCCCAATCAGCTCGAGTGTCCCGACGAGCTCAAACCACTCGAATATCCTTTTGAGCTCGCCTGGGAGAAGTCCCAATTAGATCGCCAACAGGCAAAGCAACTGCAGCTGAAAGAGGAAGAGGAAAATGGCCAGCAGAAGGACAACAAGGATGTGGATAAGAGCCAAACTGCCAAATGTGTCCAGTGACAACAACAGACGAAGCTAATCTGTAGTTTATAATTATATTAGAAATTTTCTCACATTGATATTTTTTGCGATTCTGTAATGGTTTTGGAATTTTTAAAATTCATCCCTATTAAAACATTTACAGACTTGAGAACTAAGTAATTACAACGTTTTTTGTTGCACACATTTGATTTTAAGTTAAATTCACTACCTTTTTAGGGTTTTTCATAAACCGAGAACAACAAATGGAAATCCAACTTTTTCTTATCATTCTTTCTGCTTTTTCTCAAAAATCTACGTACTATTTCTATATATTTATAATGATTTTTAAAATTCACTATCACAGCATAAAAATAAGCAACAATAGATTTTGATAATATCTAAATTATCAATTATCTAAAAATCTAAAACAAGTATCTTATATAGAAAATATGATATTTCAAGAGATAATAGACGAAATACGCATATCAAAATGATATTAAATGCCAATGGTTGTCACAATAATTCGGATATCGTAACATTTTTTTCGCAGACATTTGAGTTGGAATTTAAACTTGAATAAATTGGATTAAACAGCGATTTTCCACAAATATTTCAGAAAAATAAATTTCCAGAATTTAATTCTGAACTATAGATTACCCCTCAAAGTTAGCTGGCGCCAATAACTCGGTTCATAACAAAATGCTCATACTTTTAGCTTATATTCACTTTATATGATACTTGAAATTTTGGTCGCCTTCTATAACTGTTTTAGAGAATCTAAATTCTTCAAAAAATAATTAACCTAAGCCTGTAAACAAACGCAGTTGAACTGGGAAAGGTACCAGTAAATTAAATATTGTGGTGGCCAGTCGATAAATAAATGCCATTCAGCGGTGAGCGTAACGCACTCCGTTGACAAGAAGCTCAGTGCTACATGAAAGTCGAAGCGAATGTGCAAAACAAAACCTGCGGCTAGAAATAAATATAATAAACAAAAAACAAACGCTATCCGTAGCAATGTAGTTCAAATTGATGAATCTGCAAAATAAGCGTGGGAAGTGACAACAGCGACAGCCGCCGTATAAATAATGCCAAACAAAATGGTTAAAATATTCTTCAGGTAAATTCAACTGGCATGGCAAGCAAATAAACAGAGGCAGTAACAGCAACACCAACTGCAAGAACAACACAACAACAACAGCGACAACAACAACAACAAAAGACTGGCGCTGCTCTTTGCTCTGCCTTTTTATTTTTATGAATGACGTAAGCGCGCACGTCTGTGCCGCTACAAAACGAAAAAAAAAAACAACTTTCCTTTGTGTGGTTGTTGCTGTTATTGTTGTTGTTGGTGCTGTTGCTTGTTATTATTTGCTTCGCCTAAAAAGCAGAGGAAGCCCTCTCCGTAGGTACAAATATACACGAGTGTTGTATTGTGTATGTGTGTCTGTGTGTGTGTAGTTTGTGTGTGCGTGTTTGCGGTGTGTGCTCCCCAGTCGGAATCTAACCGAAATGTTCCAAAATTTAACCCAAAAACACATTTTGCCAGTGTTCAATTTAGTAGCAGTAGTAGTATAACAGTAATACAAAAATGGTACTATTTGTTATTATTATTATTCATTTGTATTTGTGTCACTTGCCGAGCCACTTTAGGAAATCTATTGCGTGTAGCGGAAAATTGCTTCCATGGAGGCATTTCTTTGGACTACCTTAATTCCTACTGGATACCCAAAATGCACACAAATACACACGTACTTTCAAAGTGGCGTCGTTGGTTTTTTTTTGTTTTGTTGCTTGGGAAACATGCTCTCAATGGAAGAGCGAGCGAGAACGAGAGCGTGCCAGCAACAACAACAGAGCTGTTTTTTTCTTCTTTTTTTTTTTCAAATAAATAATAAATTCTTTTTTTGGTCAATGACCTAAACAATGCTGTTAGTTTCGTTATATTTGTGATCATATTTTTGCAAGCCATAATAAAATTCGCAAATTACGTTTATTATCTATGCCAAGATAGTTAAAGGTCAACTCATTGCACTGCGCATACCTTGAGTAGTTGCGTCCTTCGAAAAGAATTGCCAGCAATGAAATCTACAAAGTAAACACATCAAAACTAAAAACAAACAATAAACAATCTTCAACCGAGCTATTGATTTTGTTGGCCGATCTTTAAATATATATGTAATTAAAAAAGAGTTTTAGCAAAAATGAAATCAAAGGTTATTTGTTTTATTTCAAGTTGTAAATCCTATAATATTATATTGTTCTGTAAAGTACAAGGCGTTTTCAATCCTATAAAGTAAATATATTTATGATCAGCATTACCAGCAGAGTCTATAAATAAAGATGTAATTTTGTAAAATATTTTACTTCAGGAAGCTATAATTTTGTACCCATTAAAAATGGATAAACAAATTATGGCCTGAAATCAAGAGATCTTTAACCCTTATATATGTATTTGATCGGCTATTAATAAATATAATTCTTGCTGTCGGAAATGTCTCGTTCAACCTTATTTCAACAAAATAATAAAATTTAATCCACGCATATGTACAATATATTCTTCCTACTTACATATATATACTACTACCTACATATATATTCTTACTCATAGATCTTGGAGAGCTGCTAGTATGTTTTCGTAAAATCCCAAATACGTTCATTCAACTTTTCAGGCACCCATTAAAATAAATAGGGGTACTGATAAAAACGGTTAAGAAAGTATGCAAAATTATATAACACGCAGAGCGAAGCATCTCCTTCGATCGTAAAGTATTTATATTCTTTATAAGAAATAATAGGCGAGTCGAGCTAGCCAATTTCTGCTGATCTCAGAGACTGAAAACTTTGGAATATAAGTTATACATATATTCCATACATAAATCAAGTTTATTTTATTTGATTTGTCTATCAATACAATTATTTTCTGCACACAGGTAAATTTTGTATAAACAAATTGTTAAAATTTAGTTTGCCTTCAGGAACAGTGCTTAAGGCTTGCTTGATTGTTTATTACTGATGGATATATAGTCAGGCAATATAAATTACTTTTGCAATATATCGCGTTTTATTTATGCACACACATCAATTTCAATTTGCCCACAAATTGCAGTATCCGAAACAAACCAGAAACTGCACCCAGCCAGCACTAAACTCTTCCCCCACGATTTATCATTTGCATTCCACTCATTTAAATGCAGTGCAATGCGGCTGTTTTTGTTGGCTGTCACATTGAGACAATAGTCCACTTTTGCAACTAATTTGATAAACACGGAAGCTCTGTGAAAACAATAACAAATTGTAAAGTTGATAATTTTTAGACAACAACACGAGTTCCATTAATAAATGTCAACGAAATTAGCTAGGAATATTAATACAAATACAAGTAGATATCTCAACTAGTTTGCAAAATAAAATGCCTTATCATATGCATATGCGAAGACTTTATGCAAATGAATAAAAGCATTGCGATTTAAGATCATTAAGAATATGAATGAATTTGAGTAAACTCATTTTTTACTCTAAATAAAAACGCGATTAACTGGTGACTTGCGCAATTATTTTCAAAGTTCCACAATAAGAACTCGATAAAGTCGAGAAACTCTTTTACGAATATTTTTCTGTTTTCATCTGCTTTATCAGCTTCAAACACATGTTCAATGAGCTGATTAACAATACATTGATGACTGAATATATTCTGTAGAATACTCACCAACTTTGTGAAACATACACAAGCATTTCCTGTTTCCGAATCCATAATTTCGAAAACAATTGCTACTCATTTACATCTGTTCCGGTTTCCGGAAGACGAACAAATTCTTTAGAGCATGGTTGCTGTTTCGGTTTTCAATTGTTATACTATAATTCCCAGACTTAGATTGTATATATTTATTATTATTGCTTATCAAGTTATAATATTATTATGTCGGACCACTAGTTGATGTTACTTCAATTGGGGCAATCGATCAAAAGATAACTTTTTGTATTACAAAATTATTTTTATCGTAACCAAACCCACCGGCAACGATTAACTGCTACCACATCATTTGGAACTTTGGATCAGTTTGTTAAATTCCTAAATAAATAAATATTTGACCAGATTCTTAATTGCGAGCACAAATGGACTCCGGTCTGAAAGATTATGTATACTTTCTCGAGACTCTATTAATTGGTCACCATCATAATTTTGACTGATGTAATAAAATGAGAGAGGAATGCATTAGAGACGCAATCAATGGCCTGCAAGGAAAGGCAGTTTTCAAAAAGAATTGTTTAAAGCAATTAACGTCAAAGAAAATTGTAACTGTTTGCGTCTAATGGCATACATATAATGGGGGTTGTTTCAGGGTTTTTGTCTTTGCCTTGTTATTCAGGCTTTTCTAGACTTATCGCTATATACACAAATGAGTATGAAAATATATATTTGCAGTATTATATTGAATTATTAACCGTAGTAAAGGAGTAAAAAGATATATTTATCTTTTATGATTAAAAGGATATTGTCTGTAATACTAACCTTCCTTCTAGCCTTATCTTGTCGGAAATGTGTAGGTTACCTTAGGTGTGGTCATTGTATAATAACACACTATCCGAGGCCCTCACTCTAAAGTCCACCTACAATATTGTAAAATTCATTCTAAATTTAAAATAATATACTCTACTGACTAATTTGTTCTGTGCTTGTTTTCAAATTTGCATGGAGTATAATAAAACTTGTAAATGATGACTTTAACCGGAATATCTATGTATACCAAAAAAATCACCATTCGACCCGCTTCAGTTTTATCATACTCCATTTATCATAATCTGATGAAGAATACATACATATATACTCTGCACGGATGTACAATAGTAAATGGGTATCAGAATGAGAGCAATGCCAGACTAAGGTTACAAACCTTTGAATGTGTGCACAAACAAACCCACAATTTGTCAATCAACTGGCTATCAGCTGTCAATCAACTCGCTTACCCCCAGCCAGCTCATGTGTGACTGCAAAAGAGAAGCAGAGTGAGAGAGAGAGAATGATAGAGAGAGAGCGAGAGTCGTCAGTCTCTCTCGTTCTTCGCCGGGACTAAAATGCAAATCCATTCAATGAATAAAAAATGAATTAAACTAAACGTTTGGCTCTAATCGTTTATTTTAATTTTCCCTCTCTTAATTATATAGTTGCTCTTAAATTAATCGTATTGCTATTGTTCACAAGTTTTGATCTTTCATTTTTTTCTAGCTTTTTTGTTGCACTTTTCTAAAGATTTCACAGAGCAGAATAAAAATAGTGCTTGCAGAAACATTATGAAAAATTATAGGGTTCCATCTATTTCCAAGGAATAGTTAATCTTACTATTCCATTGAAATTTAAAACGGGTTTTAATCAATACTTTGAATAACCACCAAACACTTATCCTAAGATTAAGTCATTAAGCCCGAAGAAGCTCCTCCAAAGCACCCAATAAAATCTACCAAATCGAGATTCCCGCATACCGAAATTAATGTTGTTTTGCGATGCATAATATTTTCCAATTTTGGGTAGTAATAAAGCGTTCCTGCAACTCATACCTGTGGAATGTTGCCAAAATCTTTGGCAAGGTGTTTCGCACCTGTTGTTGAAAACAAAGACCTGACATAAAATGCTAAAAATAACCCAATATCGTATTAGAGCCATATTCTAATCAATTTTGATGGTCAAGGAAAAAATCACAATTATTTTGAGCGACTTTGAGATCTTGGTTATTCAAAGAGTTGTGTTACTAAATTTGTCCCAGTTTGTTGAAACTTTCATGTAAATTGATTCTTATTTAGTGAAAAAAGTACTTCAAAAATACGAAATGAATTCATAAATTTTTGTTCTTATCTAAATCTTGATTAATAATTTTAATTACTATGATTATCCATTGCTTTCTTATCGATATACAGTATTATCTTAACTACTACTCGAGTACCAATTTCAGATAAATCAATAGCTTGAATTTAAGCAAGGTAAATAATATTAATAAAACACATATTTGTCAAATGATCAGTATATATTACAAATTGTTCAGTCTTGTAGTCATTCTAGTAAACGTTCACATTATCTGGACTTATCCCAGCCATAATGTCAATTTATCCATATCTGACTAATAGCAATAATTGTGATGACTTATGCGAGTTCACAATTTGTAAGCGTTTTATAAACGTATTCACCTTATTTACGGACCAATCATTTTTAATATCAAGCCGTTTCGGTGATTTCAATAGATCATCAAAAAGTGAAAAACAACCCACAACACAATGGCATCATCGCAAAATGCTCATTTAAGGCGCGTACATGACAGCATCAATAATGTTTCGAAAATAATTTTGGTCAAAAAATATTGGAACCATGTGAGTGTGTGTGTGTGTGTATAAAGAGTCTATGAATTTTGTGAGCAAATCTTTTTAAGCTTTCGCATGACACGAGCAAGCCCTGACATACATTATAATATTTAAAACAACGCCCTCTTTTTGTGTATTTTGAAAATAAAAAAAATGTGTGTATATGTATTAAATATGTATGTATTCATTAACCTGCACGTGCTCATAATATTATTTGAGGCAGCCTCAATAAATTGCCGTTTGCCGTTTGCGTTTGTATTTAATTTTGGCACATTGCTGTCATACGTATTTATCTTGAATATATGTATTTGTAGAGGACAGCCAGTCGCCCACGAGCCACGGCTGACATTCACAAAAATCATATTTTTGTTTTGCGGATATGCCTTGAAATTCACTCATCTATCTTTAAGTCCTATTTGATGAGGAGCAGTTAATGGACTGATTTGAACAATTTCAGCTCTGACGACATGAACCCTTATCATTGTAACTTATCTGGCGATAGTTAGTCACATTTGCCTAAACAATAAAAAAAACCATGAGTCATCACAATTGTAACTAGTTGTACTTCTAAGAATTAATGATGGTATTATAATTTAACATTATTGTGCACTTTTCCATGATCAACTGTTATTTCCCAATTAAACAAAATTACTTCTTGAAGATTTGTGTTCTTCAACAAAACTAATTTCACTTATAAATTGACACCATTTTGGAATAGTTTAATCTTTGTCTTAATCTGGCCAAACTCTACCTTTGGTATCAGCATATAAATAGTTATTCACTATCAAAGAATTGCTGTTTAATTAATATTGAAGATATGATGCTGAGACTTGCTTTAGCAGTTGAAATTCAAATGGTTTTAAAATTAATCGTTAATGAATGAATGTGATTTTATTTTTTGATGCATGTCCTTTTCAGGACATGTTTTTACAAGTAAGCATAGTTTTTTTTCTAGATTCTGTTACGAATAAGAAATAAATATTTTTTTAACCCATTTTTAATGGGTTGTGTTTATAAAACTGTTCTTAACCACCTGCGAAATACTTTTTACCAGTGTTATAGCAGCTGCAACAGGTGCGAATCTGGCTATTTCAAAGACTGGTTAGTTGTGGCTAGACCTTCAAAAAAAATTGTTGGTAAGATAACAATATTGTGATAAATTTGGTAACACTAGAACTAAAACTGTGTGAAATGGATTTTTAAGTGTAGTGGGAAAGATATACCAAATTGGGACTTTTATTGTAATGAGAATAATTTTAAATATTTTTTTAGAGAAAAAATAAAAATGCAATGAACTTGATCTGATTGAAAATTTGTTAACTCTGACTTTAATAATGAAAGATGGACTGAAAAACTAACGGATATTTGATTAAGAAAATAAATAACTTTTTGGTTTGGAGATGCTTCGCTCTGCAACACGATACCAATTTTACTTATTTTAAATGGATGCAGGATTTAAAATAACAGCAGAATAGTTCAATAAATTAAAGCTGCCCACGCTGGCTGTCTGGATGCTAAAGGGGGAGAGTAGAGGGGGCGTACTGCAAAAGCGCAAGATGGACAGCATTTGATTGAATGTTTGCTTAAAAATATTATGATAAATACATAAATAAAACACGCCGCGCCGCTCACAGAGCAAATTCGTCGAGAGAGAGCGCAAAAGCATAAGAGGGGAGAGAGATAAGAGTGCGCTCTCTCATTCTGTCTCTCTCTCTCTTTCTCTTTTCTCATTCAGTAGGGCAGGCAGACAAAATCATTGCGCTGAGCGAAGTACTTCTGCGCGCTTTTTTCTGCTTAGCGAATCATTCGCCAACGTTGGCTCGACTCGTTCACAACGTTGCGTATTCGCCGTGAGTGTGCGTGCGTGTGTGTCTGTTTGTTTGTTTGTTTGTGTATATGTGTACAGATATATGTATGTATGTATATATAGAAAAGTTGAGCGCTTTGAGTGCTTTGTGTGTATTGTGTGTGATTTCCGTTCATTTCTAAATTTATAAAACAAAATATACGCGCATACCTATAAGTTGCGCTGGCGTGCGCTCTTCTGCCCCTCCCAAATCAGCAATAAAAATACACACACACATATATTGATATATATAAATATATATATGAAATCAAATCAATGCGCGCGCAAAAAATAATACAATGAAAAGCCAAATATTTACATAAAAAATAATATTTGTTAAGGCACGCCCACACTTAGTAAAATTGAAAAGAGCGAAAAACAAACTAGAAGCGACATCAACAATTTAAAAATCTATATTTTATATAGATATATTCATATATATTTTTTACTTTTCGCATTTTGATTTGTATAACAAAAACCAATGTTTATTTTCTTTTGGGCATATAAATTCTTTAGTTGAAAGTGAAAGCTGTGTCGTCTGTGAAATGTTGTCACTAGCAAGTTGAAGCAAACAAAAAGATAAAAATAAAAAATAAACAACGCAGGCAAGTTATGCTAATTTCTAGTATTAGTTGCGATGTGTTGAGAAATGTTATCCAAATGTGCACATAATAAAGCCACACACAAAAAGCCATAAAACCTTAAAGCACAATTCGATTAAACGTTGTTCAATGACCAGCAAATTGGCCAAAATGCGTTTGCAACAGCGCTACAGCAACAGCAACGCCAACAACAGCAACAGCGCCAATGGCACAAAAGCGGCGCATGCAATTGGCAGCAGCAACAACAACAGCAACAGCAGCAGCAGCAACAACAATAGACTCAACAATCCGCGTGCAAAGATACAAAATCTCATCAACAACAGCAACAACAACAATAACAGCAATCGCAACGGTTTCCTCAAATTGCGCAGTGCTGCAAAAGCAGCTCCGGCAACAATAGCAACAACAGCAACAACAGCAACAACAACAACAATCAACAACAGCAGCAACAACAATTGCTCGCTTGTGGAAACTCTGGAGGAGACCACAACAGCAGTGGAGCTGCGCTCGACGGCAGCTGGCGGCGCTGGCGAGAACGATACGCATTATCGCGCCTATAACACCCTGCGCAGCAACTCCACATCGGCCATTTTGGCAGAGGCTGCCGTGTTGCCTGGGCTGCTGGGCAACGGTTCCAGCATACTATATGCCCGGCCCCGCACCCTCAACGTGCACAATGTCTGCCAGACGCCGGCGCAAATAACGCAATTATTTTTTGGGTATGTTTTATTTTCAGTTTATTTTGATTTCAATGTTTTGGCTTAAAATTGTTCAATTCTTCGTTTCTAATTTGATTCCCGCTTTAAAATGTGACTAACATTAGTTTTAAATAGATTTATGCTGTGAAAACCAGTTAAGCCCAACCAGTTTAACTGAGTGAATCACTACTCAAACACAAGTTAAACCCTTTGCGGCCATAATTTTTGGAATTGCATAAAAATATTCTATAAATAAATTAAATGCATAAGTGTGGCAAATATATCTAATTGATATATTTGCTTTAAAAGCTTTTCTGTTCAGAGTACACAAATATTGTGAAATTCAAAGCTGCATTATAACAAATATTAACATTTATTAGATTATGTCTTATCTATATTGTTGTTCCAGTGATTGTGCAAGATAATTATCTGAATAAATTCCTATAAACTAACTGTCCAAACTAATCATAACAAAAGTCTGAGAAGCTATATTTCTATGTAAATCTGCGGACACATTAAAAAAACGTAGAAAGAACGGTGAAGATTATATACTCTTGTAGATTGGAGATAATCTTGTACATTTTCGCTTAAAGTTTAAAATATAATTAATATTTCAAAATTTCTTATATCAAATCCTTGTGCTCGCAGCTATTTTATAAACTATTTTAAATTCGAAAATATGAGTAGGAAATGTTTCAGATGCAATTGTTACATTTTTTAAAATGTATTTTCCCGCTTGAAGCGATCCGTAAAAAGAGAGAAATATATTGAAAAAAAATGTTATTTTTATATTTAAAAAAGCTTGCAATTTATATATTTCGAAATACAATTTGTTTCTATCTCTTTCGTAGCGAAAAATATGAAAATAAGTCAATTAGTAAAGTATTATTAATCTTGAATTATTGTATTGTTAATTTTGGTGACTCATAGAAAATTATCATGTCTGAGCAAAATGAAAGTTTTATGACGAGTGTCTCACGATTTCTGTGTTAGCAATATCATATCCAAAGCGCCATTTTTTTAAGCCAGACAACTGAAACGACTAAGCTATGAAAATTCTGATCGTGTCAAGAGTTCAATAGTGTTAAGAATTATTTAAAGGTTAGCTTTGAGAAAGCAAGGCTTTTACACATTTTAGGCTCAATATGAATGCAAGTTAGATGAATTGTTTCTAAATCTTTTAATACTGTTTTGATATTATTCTACATGTACTACAATGGAAAACATGTTCAGAGGATAAATTCCAAAATTTGTTGTCGTTTTTGTTATTGTTGACATTTTTTTCGGCATCGGGTTGATGACATGACATCAACCGGGCTTAATCACTTAGTAGGCGGCATCATTTGAAATATTTCCACGCCTCACCATCTAATTGCGATGCCTTCCTGGGCGAATGCCGATGTTTCCCAACAAAAACAATGAATTCTCTTTATATTCTACACAATTCAATATATCTTTCTCTTGTCTTGCTTTTGCGCTTTGTGTTTTGTGTTTTAGTCTTTGGCGTTGCACAAAAATACAGCGAGCAAGATTTTGTCATCGCTATTTTAAAATTAAATGTATATATTTTATTTTTGCGCATTCTCCTCCCAGCGCACAACGCTTAAAATATTGAATTAAATGACAAGGCAAGGAACTTTTGACTGCTTTTATTTGTCGCACATTGCAAAGGCATTTTTGTACTCTGCACCTATTAAAAAAGAAGAGTTTTTCAGTATATGTAACAGGCATATTGTTGACTAAAGACACCAAATTTTTTATAGAGGTTCTCCTGCTCTCCTGCTCAGTTCTGTTGACATATCTTGAAGGTCATCACAAATAATATCACTAAATTTTACATGTGTTTATCGTGTATATCAAGAATATTTCCATTTTTTAAACCTTTCCACGATTCCCAAAAAAATTTCAAACAGTTTATATATGCTTTATAGTCTGTCTGTAGAGGGTACCTCCTAGTCGTGAACTGTCGACTAGAGGACCATTAATTGTTTTTGTGTTTTATTTTTGCTTTTTTACAAAAATAAATTGTATTTAAATAAACAACAATAACAATCTATTAAAATGTCAAGCTCTGTAAACAAAAAAAAAAAGCTTCTCTAGCCTGTAATTGTTTTATTTATTTATTTTTTCTTTTGCGCAATTTGCTTATAATATATTCGCAAGTCAGAGGACAAATTGACAAATTCATAACATATTTATTGTGGCTGCAGCGTTCAAAATTAATCAATCGATCAATCGGAGTTCATATAAGTCAAATCAAGACTAGTTCAATTTGTATAGCTTTTCGAATTGTTATATATTATACTCGAAATCTGAAGCGTTTATAAGAAATATATTTATTTAGTATACTCAAACGTGACGTATTTCCTTAAGCATTAAAATTCCATACAACAAATTAATATAGAATTAGCTCTTTGTGTTATTTAAGAAATACATATGTAGAAAAAAATCGAAACAGCTTCAAAGTATTAAAATAGGGGTGCTACGTCCACTAGGGTGCTAGGCAATCAATAAAATCTATAAATGCAAAACAATAATATCCACTTTATTAAATTTGAAAGAGTGTGTAAAATATGATGTGGATAAGAAGGCATTTTTGTTTTATATAAATGTATAGTGAAGTTTAAATGTGAGATGTTTGCAACTGTTTTTTTTATTATCTTAGAATATCTAGCTTCTGCTCCACTGGGGTGATAAATTCACTTCAAAGCAACTCTCAAATGTCAGACCATTTTATGAGGGACCTTAAAACTAATCTTTCGTTAATAATGTGACGGATCCGAATTCTAAGTCGCACATCTTGGATTCTTTTGTAAAAGGCCAAGCGCGCTTTTTATAGCGTTCTTAAAGGCAGTAAAGACACAGTTAGATTTTTAATATGCAACATTTTGTAGATATTTTTTTATACTGGCGACTTTGCGTTGCGAAACTATGTCGTAAAAGCGGTTCACTGAAGTCAACTCAACTCATTTAAATTCTTAAATCACAGAGTTGCAATGATTAAAAATTATGTCGTCTGCATGCACTGCTCAATTAAAAGAGATGTGTTTATCTTTGTTATTTTTTAATGTCGCCTTTATTCAATTTGTATAGTCACAACGCACATCAATCGTCGGTTATTGTCGCTGACTGACGGGTTATGGTTATGGTTTCTATTCCATTCAATTCTTTCATGTATTTATGAATCAAAAAAGCAAAGGCCGTCTACTCATGCATATATATAAATATTTAATGGCTATCAGCGAAACTTTGATTAAGCAAAGTGCAGCATTTTATTGTTAAATGTTATATAAATTGCTTATACTCTTTATATACTCTTGATCCACAAGGGTGTATCCGTTATGCTGTATGCACATCTGTTGATACAAGCGCTGAAGTGTTTGCCCTCTTCAAGCTAGAGAGTTAAGGTGTCCACATAAAAAAGCTGTACTTGTTTATTTCTTCTTCTTTTCTTTGTATATAAAATTGGCTTTTTCGCATTATATAGCTGCATTTATCGCTTTAGCTTATAAACAGTCGTTTGTTATGGCTTTTTGCGTCGTGATATTATGATTTATTTTTAACTTGATTATGACATGGTACAATCAAATACAAATGTATGTACATATGGGAATCAGAAGTAATGACGACTACTAATGTAGATAATAATAATTTAAATATAATAACAATGAGTCGCGACTCCAGCCATGCTAATGCTAATTATCAGCATTTATCTTTTAAATATATATATATATATGTATTTAGAGGCGTGACTGCTTTCATGATCTGTGGATAATGTTAAACAATTAATCCGCAGCAGAATCGTTCTGCTTATCCACGAAATATGGTATACAAAATTGTACGATCCATGCAACGATTCAACACCTGCATTGACGGACTTGAAAACCCAACTTCATGAATCGAATCATAAAAATAAGCATACAATTGTAATATATACAAGTATATATTTGTGTTCTGATAGTCGAGTCGATTTAGTAATATCTATTCATATATCTATTTTAAATTTGAGTGTAAGCTGACGATAACTTCCTTCGATTTCAATATATTGCTTGCTTTTTTGATGGGAATATACTTTTCATCAAGATAGATATTCAAAATTTCGAACGAGCGTATTTAACTGTTTCCATTCGGTAATTAATGTCAATCGCAATTTAACCTTTGAAATCGAATAACTACTTAAGCACTTTTATTAGTTTTTTATTATATTTTTGAATGCTCACAGTTTTTAATTCGGTTTACAATTCCATAAAATAATTAAAAGTTAACTACGGTTTTTTTAAAACTCATTTCAAGTTATATATTATTTTTGCTTAATGCGGAAATGTAGAAATATATATTCCAAGTTTCGAGTCTCTAGCATCAAGAGCGTCGAAAAATGATGTTGTGAATAGCTGATTTTTACTAATCACTGAAATTGTGATTGTAGATTGTAACTGTATTAAACTTGGGAAAATAAGTATTTAATTTGATCAAGATTAGAGCCAACTTTGAATGCATATGACCAGCGCGAATATGCTTTCACACACATCAGCGACAAAGCTGCGATTGTGGAAATAGTCGGTTTTTGGACTACGTGGTATATGTAATCCCATTTATTTTTGAAATGTTGACCTCATAACTAGTCGCCGCCAAAGTCTGTCGAGCCTATATAGCGTGCTTTAAAATCTAAATTTACGGGGGAGTAACGAGTAACGAGTAACGGCAGCGTCCAAATGTGGCGATGACAACTTCATTTCGTGGCATGTGACGGACAGACAATCTGTAGGTTTGACAGGGTGCTTTGTTCTGAACCGACAGTATGGTTGACTTTGCCGCTATCGATACTTTCAATCAGAAAACGATAATTCATGACATCATCAGCAACATGATAGAGAAAGAGAGCGATAGAGAGAGAGGGGGAGAAGAGAGAGCGAAAGAGAGGCACTCTCTGGGTGAGTGGAATCGCTCGAGTGGCTGGCTTAATTAGTAATTTAACACAATTATAAATAAACGAAACGAAACGAAACGCTACCTCGGCTAGT